ATAAATCAACAACTTATAGATACTCGTCAGTGTCCAGCTTTTTCGTTCTTCAAGTAACTCTTTGCATTAGTTCACTAAACGACTGGATTGACAAATTTAATGCCAAACTAATAAAGTTTATGGAACTCAATTCAAATTGATGAAACTTCATTGAAACCTGAAATTTTAATTGAAATATGAGAAAGTTAATTAAAAGCAAATGAAATACATAAAACTTTAACAGAAAATTTTGTATCAACGAAAATAACTTCAATGAAATCACACTTCATCGTTAGAACTACATCAAAACCTTCCAAACTTCAGTAAATCAAATTTCTTCAGCTATAGTTTTAACAAAGCATGACATTTTAACAGGAATAAAAAAACTTCAACTTAAAACACTTCATTGAACTAAATACAATTAATATAACGATTTAATGAAAATCATAATTTTGATTTGAAAATTTAATAGCAACACAAAAAACTTTATCGAACCCGAACTAAATTGAAGAAACTTCATGAAAACCTGAAATTATAATCAAAACTTTTATCGAAATTGGGCATCAATTAAAGAAGTTTCAATGAAACTAAACGCCACTAAATAAATCTTCATCACTATCTTAATTTTGATCTTTTTGAACTTCATCTAAACCTAACCAAATGAAATCTTCAAATTTATACCCAAAACTTTAGTACTGTGCTAATGAACTTCAATGAAACTAAACGTAAACTGTAAAACTTCATCAAAATTTTAATTGTGATTTGAAAATTGAATATCAACTCAAAAATTTCAACTAAACATAACCAAATGAAAGAAACTTCATTAAATCCTCAAATTTATAACCATTACTTTAGTATCAAGGTAAAGAATTTCAATAAAAACTAAACGTAAACCATAACACTTCATCAAATCTGATAATTTAACATTAACTCAAAAAACCAAATGAAAGAAACTTCATTATACCCTCAAGTTCATAGCAAAAATATTAGTAATATGCAATGAAACTTCAATAAAAACTAAACGTAAGCCATAACACTTCATCAAATGTTTTTATCTGATAATTTAACATTAACTCAAAAAACCAAATGAAAGAAACTTCATTATACCCTCAAGTTCATAGCAAAAATATTAGTAATATGCAATGAAATGAAATGTTAGTCATAAAACTTCATCAAAATCTTAATTATCAACAGGAAATTTAATTTTAACTTATGTGGCTGAAATTTAAATTGTTATACATCATATTTAAATATTAACCTAAGAAACTTCATCTGCATATTAATTTTTAATTGATATGTTGAACTTGATCTAATATCACTAAAATATTGATACCTACAACATTTGACATATAACATTTTAATATTATTTCAAACTTCACTACATTTTCAAGTTTCAATCAATAATTTGTATTTATTTTATAAATCTGCTCCAAGACACTTTATGAAACGCGGTTATAATATTAATTCCTAGCAAGAAGTTTTATATTAGCCTAAAAAACTTCATCTAACGTAACATAATCTAAGAAATTTCATGGTAAACTTCATCAAAATTTTAATTGTAGTTTGAAAATTGAATATCAACTCAAAAACTTTATCTAAACATAACTAAATGAAAGAAACTTCATTAAATCCTCAAATTTATAACCATTGCTTTAGTATCAAGGTAAAGAATTTCAATAAAAACTAAACGTAAGCCATAACACTTCATCAAATGTTTTTATCTGATAATTTAACATTAACTCAAAAAACCAAATGAAAGAAACTTCATTATACCCTCAAGTTCATAGCAAAAATATTAGTAATATGCAATGAAATGAAATGTTAGTCATAAAACTTCATCAAAATCTTAATTATCAACAGGAAATTTAATTTTAACTTATGTGGCTGAAATTTAAATTGTTATACATCATATTTAAATATTAACCTAAGAAACTTCATCTGCATATTAATTTTTAATTGATATGTTGAACTTGATCTAATATCACTAAAATATTGATACCTACAACATTTGACATATAACATTTTAATATTATTTCAAACTTCACTACATTTTCAAGTTTCAATCAATAATTTGTATTTATTTTATAAATCTGCTCCAAGACACCTTATGAAACGCGGTTATAATATTAATTCCTAGCAAGAAGTTTTATATTAGCCTAAAAAACTTCATCTAACATAACATAATCTAAGAAATTTCATGGTAAACTTCATCAAAATTTTAATTGTGGTTTGAAAATTGAATATCAACTCAAAAATTTCAACTAAACATAATCAAATGAAAGAAACTTCATTAAATCCTCAAATTTATAACCATTACTTTAGTATCAAGGTAAGGAACTTCAATAAAAACTAAACGTAAGCCATAACACTTCATCAAATGTTTTTATCTGATAATTTAACTTTAACTCAAAAAAAAACCAAATGAAAGAAACTTAATTATACCTTCAAGTTCATAGCAAAAATATTAGTATTATGCAATGAAATGAAATGCTAGTCATAAAACTTCATCAAAACCTTAATTATCAACAGGAAATTTAACTTTAACTTATGTGGCTGAAATTTCAATTGTTATACATAATATTTAAATACTAACCTAAGGAACTTCATCTGCAATTTTTAATTGATATGTTGAACTTGATCTAATATCACTAAAATATTGATACCTACAATATTTGACATCAACTTCAACCAATCTTTTCTTGTTAACTGTGCTTCAAATTTAATATTAACTAAGTATTCACCAAAGAAAGTTCAATTAAGTTTATAACATTTTAATATTATTTCAAACTTCACTACATTTTCAAGTTTTAATCAATAATTTGTATTTATTTTATAAATCAGCTTCAAGACACTTTATGAAACGCGGTTATAACATTAATTCCTAGCAAGTAGTTTAATATTAGCTTAAAAAACTTCATCTAACATAACAATCTAAGAAATGTTATGGTAATTTTAATTTTTCCATTAATTTTAAGTCATATTTTCGACTGTACATCAAAGAAACTTCAATGAAACCAAACAAATTGACTTAACTTAATCATGAAGAAACCATNTATTTAAATATTAACCTAAGAAACTTCATCTGCATATTAATTTTTAATTTATTTGTTGAACCCGATGTAATATCACTAAAGTATTGATACCTACAACATTTGACATATAACATTTTAATATTATTTCAAACTTCACTACATTTTCAAGTTTCAGTCAATAATTTGTATTTATTTTATAAGTAAATCTGGTCCAAGACACTTTATGAAATGCGGTTATAACATTAATTCCTAGCAAGTAGTTTAATATTAGCCTAAAAAACTTCACCTAACATAACATAATCTAAGAAATTTCATGGTAAACTTCATCAAAATTTTAATTGTGGTTTGAAAATTGAATATCAACTCAAAAACTTCAAATAAACAAAACCAAATGAAAGAAACTTCATTAACTCCTCAAATTTATAACCATTGCTTTAGTATCAAGGTAAGGAACTTCAATAAAAACTAAACGTAAGCCATAACACTTCATCAAATGTTTTTATCTGATAATTTAACATTAACTTAAAAAACCAAATGAAAGAAACTTCATTATACCCTCAAGTTCATAGTAAAAATATTAGTATTATGGAATGAAATGAAATGTTAGTCATAAAACTTCATCAAAATCTTAATTATCAACAGGAAATTTAACTTTAACTTATGTGGCTAAAATTTCAATTGTTGTACATAATATTTACATATTAACCTAAGAAACTTCATCTGCATATTAATTTTTAATTTATTTGTTGAACCTGATCAAATATCACTAAAATATTGATACCTACAACATTTGACATCAACTTCAACCAATCTTTAATTGTTAACTATGCTTCAAATTTAATCTTAACTAAGTATTCGCCAAAGAAAGGTCAATTAAGTTTATAACATTTTAATATTATTTCAAACTTCACTACATTTTCAAGTTTCAATCAATAATTTGTATTTATTTTATAAATCTGCTCCAAGACACTTTATGAAACGCGGTTATAACATTAATTCCTAGCAAGTAGTTTAATATTAGCCTAAAAAATTTCATCTAACGTAACATAATCTAAGAAATTTCATGGTAAACTTCATCAAAATTTTAATTGTGCTTTGAAAATTGAATATCAACTCAAAAACTTTATCTAAACATAACCAAATGAAAGAAACTTCATTAAATCCTCAAATTTATAACCATTACTTTAGTATCAAGGTAAGGAACTTCAATAAAAACTAAACGTAAGCCATAACACTTCATCAAATGTTTTTATCTGATAATTTAACATTAACTTAAAAAACCAAATGAAAGAAACTTCATTATACCCTCAAGTTCATAGCAAAAATATTAGTAATATGCAATGAAATGAATGGTAGTCATAAAACTTCATCAAAATCTTAATTATCAACAGGAAATTTAACTTTAACTTATGTGGCTGAAATTTTAATTGTTATACATTATATTTAAATATTAACCTAAGAAACTTCATCTGAATATTAATTTTTAATTGATATGTTGAACTTGATCTAATATCACTAAAATATTGATACCTACAACATTTGACATCAACTTCAACCAATCTTTAATTGTTAACTATGCTTCAAATTTAATCTTAACTAATTGTAAGTATTCACCAAAGAAAGTTTATAACATTTTAATATTATTTCAAACTTCACTATATTTTTAAGTTTTAATCAATAATTTGTATTTATTTTATAAATCTGCTCCAAGACACTTTATGAACCGCGGTTATAACATTAATTCCTAGCAAATAGTTTAATATTAGCCTAAAAAGCTTCATCTAACATAACATAATCTTAGAAATTTCATGGTAATCTTAATTTTTCCATTCATTTTAAGTCATATTTTCGACTGTACATCAAAGAAGCTTCAATGAAACCAAACAAATTGACTTAACTTAATCATGAAGAAACTTCATCATACCCTTAATTTTAATCCCATAAATTTGATACTTAGAATAATAGAAAAATTTGTTCCTTGTCATTAAGGTCCAGAACTTCTCATTCAAAAATCAGCACCTTAAACCAGCATATGAGGTAAGCTAAGAACTTTCAAAATGTTTATTAACTTTTCAGTATTTTTAATTTAAACTGTGATCTTCTTCTTGAAATATAAAATTTTGTTCGAATATACATAATCAACAAAGACAAAGCAAAAAAGAACAATTAAAAAAAAAATAATAATAAAAAATAAACAGAACAAAAAAGGGTTAAAAAATAGGACGTCAACGTAAAAAAATAAAAGTTGCAACGAAAACGCTGGGGCATTTCGAACAATTGAACATCGCCGGGTTGTGGGGGAAAATATAAACAAAAATTTTGCCGATTTTTATTTTTTTTGTGCCGGCCGGCTTCAATTTTTTCCCCCAGCACGCAGGATATTTTTTTGTCGGTATTTTTTTTATTGAAACTTGCGCACGGTGACTATTTTAAATTTTTCATCGCTCGAAACTCACTATTCGAACAGGGACGTTCACTAAATTTAATCATCGTCAAAGTGTCGCCGAAAAAAAAGGAACGTTCGAAAAATAAAATTAACAAAAAAATACAACAACAACCGGGCAGGATAAAGAGAGGAAAAAAATAAAAATCGGCCGGGTAAAAAAGTGAGCTTTCGAATGAATATTGTACGCACCGCCACTGCGTTTATTATCACGCGGGAAAAATGAAATGACAAAACTGTCAAACGGAAGCAAACGCAAAACAAATTGCATTAAAAAGGTTTCCCCATCACCCATTTTTTCCATTTATACTATTTCAACGATAAACTTTATTTATATTTTTTAGATGTTAATAATTGAATCGTTTCTTAAACTATTTCAGCATTTTTAGTAAAACTCTATGGTGTTAACTGGGACTTTACTGAAATATTTAGAGCTTCACGGTTTTTAAAACGCCCATCGTGCATAATTCAGTCAAGCCGAGACTTTGAATCATAATTCATTTTTCTCCCACACTTTCAGGAAATTCAAACTTATGTCATTTTAAGTACAGTTTTTTCTTCTTGATTAAAATCATGAAGTGAATCAATAAGACAATAAAAAAATAATAAAGGGCACGAACGTAAATAGATTACGAACGCCCGTTATTTACAAAATAGAAATAGATAAAATCGAACGATTTAAAATAGAACGATTTTTTGTCTGACAACAAAAAAAAGTAAAAATACGTTCGCTCCGTTTTATCGTTTCTCGTGGATCTTCTTTCGATCCGATGTCCAGATTTGCACCGCCACTGGAAAAATTTACAACGAACACACACAGTGAAAATCACGTCGTCGTCGACGTCGAAAACGACGGAACGTCGACGTCGCGACGCCGCCCATGTTTCTCCCCACCCGTCCCTCGTCCTCCAATCGGACGGCGCCATCTATCGATCGCCACGTCACTTCCTCGGCCGCCGTCGGACGCCATTTTCCGGCACCCCACCATCGCCACCGTCGACGCCGCCACCAACAACGAAGCTGTCGTACAGCTTACCAAAAAGAAGAAAAACAAAATAAGATGAAGAGGAAAAAAGATTTTTAATTTTTTTAATTCATAAAATTGAAACTGTAAACAATGCGCTGAAGGCTACGAAGGAAAAACGATAGAAGGTGGATAGAGTTGACCGAGTTTTGGCGTTATCTTGTGTATAAATATGTGCACGTGTACACAATACGGTATGGACATAGACTATGATCTGAAGCACGAACAAAGTGCGATCAAAACAAAAGATAAAGCTTTAATAGATGGTTGTTTTCATGGCACGCTTTATTATCTGCGAGGGACTTGGTTGGAATGGGTTCAAACATTGCAAATTTACTTTTATAAATTAACTTATAATCTTTTAATTATACAAATTAAATCAAAAAAATTAAAATCGATAACAAAATTAACAAGAATTTATGCCCAAAAAGAACATAAAATGATAATCCCAATACATTTGTATATTTGTATGAAAAAACGTTCCCAGAAATCAGATAACGAGCTTTTCTGGAAACATGGATATTTGCATGACATGTACATGAATTTAACTACAAGCTGCTAAAGTCAACATCGTGCAACTCCACTATCTTTTTAAGTGAAGCATTAAATTCGGGTTATCCAAGAAAACGATTTCTATAAACAAATACTTTTTGCACAAATCTAAAATGATGTTTTAGAAGAGACAACAACCTGAAAAATAAGCATGATGAAACTGGTCTAAAATACCAGTTTCGAATGTACATAACATTTTTTCAATTCAATTTACTCTGATGTTGAGTGTTCCAATCGACTTAACAGAAATTAAGAACTCTGAGGACATAAGTAGGCAAAATTTATATTTGATAGTAAAGTTAAGATTCATTCAAAGTCCCTGTGTTTGTAGGATTGGAGAGGAACCTAGATCCCATTGAGCCCTTTTTATGTCTTTCTATTACACACACACTTCGCATCACTCATCTTGTGGAATGAAATCAAAATGCAGCTTAGAGGTACTGATCCTTTACTGATCACGTTCAATCTTCGAAAGTCTGATATTGTTAATGCCTCAGAGATGCACAGCAAAATAAGGTGTTTACAGAGAGGGGCACCTTCTTAGTAAACAATGAATACTCTCTTGTTCCTCAAGTATTAGAGAGAGACTTCTGTAGAAGGGTGGCTAAGATGATATTTCAACGTCTGACAACTTAATACTCTATCCCACATATTCTTAATTTTTTTATGGGCAACTCTTTTAATGACCTCAACATAAGAGATGAAACAACAATTATCATCTCTGAAAAACAGCCCGAATCTTCTTTTAACTATTGATGTCCTTTGGTTATCACAGCTACCTTCTCCAAGGTCAACTGATAATCTATACCTAACCTAAAACTGATTAATTCTCTATGTAGTGCTAATACAGATTCTCTACTGTTGATAAATAAGCTTGTCCTGACCCATACTATATAATAATAATGCATATAATAATAAAATATTAACCCTTGCCTTAAAGGAAATCAGACTCTTGAAGGAATTAGGTAGCCAATTGTATAAATTAGGCATGCAATACGTAAAGCTGCGTTTGAAAATTTCTAACCGGTGGTGAGGTATCAGTGTGAACGCTGTCAAGGTAGGAGTGATATATTACGTCACCGTAATTGAAGATGGACAACACCAAGGCATCACACAGATACGTTCTAAGGTTCTGATTCAAAATATATCTGTTGTTGAAAAGCAAGCTTAATGTAGAGTAAGCTCTCCGTAGAAGGGACCGAATATGCCCATCAAAGCGAAGTCGCTCATCGAAACAGATACCCAAATTTTTTACATTTTCCCCAAAAGCTAAGACGACTTCCACCCATCACTAATTGCAAGTTAGTTTTTACAAACTCAAGCGAAGCTCTATCCCCAAAAACCATAACCGACGACTTACTAGAATTAATCCCGAGAAAGCTTGCCAGCAAGTTCTTCGACCTTAACTAAGTCATGATTAATTTTGCTTTCAGCATTTTCCATATCACATAGTTTAAAAGAGTAGAGCAGTTGAGTATAATCAGCATAAAAGTATGGCATACAGTGATCCAAAACATTAGCGAACCCAATTGTAGATATCAGATATAACAGAGGACCCAAAATAGAGCCCTGTCGGACAACCAACTGCTTTCGTCCATACTGAATGTGTGTTGATTAGGGTGTTGAAGATTACTTAGTAAAGATGTCCCTCTTAATAAAAAATAGATGAGATTGCTTGGTAGCTTCGATAAGGATGGAAAAATTTCTTGCTTATCAGATTTGGGGATAAAGTTCACCAAGACGAAAATTCTCGCAAATGTCCTAAAGTGCCATATAACCCTGGAGTATTTCCTATAAGTGAGAATGTAGATCCTGTTCTTCCTACATCAGCAACACTGACGTGGTCCAATTTGGCCCTTTCAGAGAACTAACCTTTCATTATCATACCTTTTTTCTACGATGTTATTAATAAACGTTTTGTGTATAATTCACCAGATCACAACTTAAACGGTTGGTACACTCAATATCGAATAACCCTTACAACACCAGATTTATTAATGACCCCATATTCTTGTGCAGGAGACATATTATCTTGTTGACAGATGCTTGAGTTCACTCTTATTTTCCCGACGTATATTTGTTCCACACTATTGAGGTCATCAGTAATCTAAAAAGGTCCAGCTGGGTTTCCGTTCTGCTTATGGCTTAGAGTTATATCAACCTTACTGAAACCAAAATCGTAAGTGAAGTTTTTTAATTATGGATGCATATTGAAAGGATCCACTAAAGTTGACATCCCATTGCAGGGTGCTTACAAGGGAGGTGAACCGAGCTAAACCATAGACACCATAGAGGATTTATATTTCAGTTTTATATCTTCAATTATTATTAATACTAAAACCGCTTAAATCACTAAGTCCACAAATCACTAATTTATTACAATGGATTAATCCAATAAAGTTGGCCATTTCCAAATGGTGAATTTCAAGGTTATGCAGTAAATAGCCTCCATCCCTGGTACTTCACCTGAACGTCCTTTATTAATATTGTAGTCGAGGTGACTTCCACAGCAGCAAATACTTGACGTGGGGCATCCTAAATAGATCTATTAAACACCTCAGATAAAGTTAAAGGGCTGGGCTTTGTGGTTAGACGTTGTAATATCGCTCTCCTTGGAGGATGAAGCCTTGACGATACCCATATCTTTTATTTAACCATCTTTGTTTTGACTGAATCTTCCACTATCGAGTTTTTAATTCTATTCACTTTGTCAATTAGTGTATTAAACAGCATATTTTGCCATTATCTGCCATTAACGCCTCAATTGTTCATTTCAATTTCAAGATAATTCAAATTCAATATCAAGATGTATGTTTTGCCCTGTTAAAATACGAAGAATTGCGAGCTAGCACCTAGAAAGAATCTTGACCTCCTTGACCGCACTTAACCAAACCTCCTTTTAGGAGCTGAAATACGTTTACCTTCAAATTTACTGAATGGCAATTATTATAGACAATCTTTAAGAATAAACGATCGAAGAGGTTGAGACAATTAAGATTGTTAGTTGTGGCTACTTTTAAATACTGGTTTACGCTGGGATCTGTCCTGCCTCTGTATCGTTGTAAGCCTTATTGACGGGTCAAAAGAGTTGGATGGAAAGAGCTTTTGGCTCTCGTTCGAATTTGTTTGACTTAATCCTTTAATGTTTTTACCTGAAGGTTCTTAGGAGTAGATACACTACTATTTATTAATGAATAGAGCTGCTGTAGTAAGAGATTCTGAACGTCTCTTTGTAAGCTTAATCTGTTACAGTTTAGATCTAAGAATCACAACTGTGTCTCACCGATTTCTGCCTCGGCCGCAAGCGTCCTCTACTATTTGTATTGCCCATTTAAGATACAACTTTGTTTCTTCAGTATACAATAGTTGTTTATATGAGTATCAATTGTCACAATTGGTCTACCTCGCTCGCAAGCAACCTCAACTAGTATCCCTATCGCTCATTCAGAATGTTACATCGTTGTCTCAGTATACAATAGTTATTTATATGAGTCTAAATTGTTTTAATTCAGTACCTCCATCGCAAGCAACCTCTCTTGATATTCAGTTACTTCGCCACAATGCTGCTAAACCTCAGTCCTATCACATATTTTAGCAACATGGCTAAAATCCATATATTCTAAACATTAACTGCTTATAATAGCATCTTTAACACTATAAGATCTCCTATCATTATAAACTTTCTCAATGCTACTACGAGAAAGAATCCACGAGACATTCAATGATTGGCATCTTTATGACATTGTTTCCATAGATTTTTTTAAACTTGTCTTTACAACCCACAGAACTCCTGAAGTTTTTATGCCAATCTCCAATATATTCCTATTGTACAATTTATCAAGTACAAAATCATCACTAAATTTTTTTTATAATCCCAGCTTCTTTAATTCTTTCTATCTTCTATTTAAATAATAACCCCATTACTCCTCGTTTTCTTCATTCCTTTTATGATTACCACAAGAAAGCTAATATATCAGGCTTTTATCGAGAAAACTTCAACTTCGCAGAGTAGTTTTCCAAAATACGTCGATATACCATCGACATGAAAGATTTTTACACAACCAGCAATTTTCCATAAGGGTTAATTAACTTCAAAAGATAATGTTCCCGATAAGTTTCTATGGATCTACTACAATCTGGTTTCTCTAGAAATGTACAGAGTGACCTACTAAATATGATGGGAGCACACAATTTAGGTTTGGCAATGGAATAGAAAAGTTTCCTGCTTTTGAAAAGTAATCTCATATTGCCCACTTCTAATGATAATCATTCAAATTTGCTAATTTACAAATATATCATGCTCAAAGATCATGTTCACTTCCCAATATAATTTGATTCCATAAATAGGCTAGAAAAAAATAGTTAATATTATTACCTACGTAACAACTAAGACACAAAGATGAAAATAAGACAATTTTAAGTATTCTCTTTTAAACTCTCTCTATCTCGCTGTAGTTCATTTGATGGAGAAGTGCATCAAACCACTTTATAGCAAGGGAGGGTTAAAATGAGAAAAGAAGGGTCGCCGGGCCGTTTTAATATTAAATTGAGCGTACGAAATCCCATTAGAATTTGTGTTTAACGTGTTAGGATGTAGTATATACGATTGTTACAAGAGTCGCGTGTGGGGTTTGGATTAGCGGTCACGTGCTATGCACGTGCTCGGACAGATACTTGATACGATATGTACTCTATTTGATCACTTACTAACACAATTTACGAAAAGAAAAAAAAATCATCAAACTTTATTGCTATAGATAGCGAGTAGATACTTTTTTAATTATTGTTTCAATTGTAGTTTTAATTATTGTTTTAATTTTGTTTCAGAGTCGAATACTTGAAGATGCCTCGATTATGTGTAATTCATGGTCACCCAGACATAACGTAAGTATACAAAGTTTAAGAAAATTAAATATAATCAACGAATAATCGTTAAGGAATATTACACGAAAAGTATGTAAGTAAGGAGATGGGGAGAAGTGAAAGTGTATTGAGTGCCTCCGTGATAACGATAATAGATATTAGGGACGGTAAATGTAGGTCTTCGGCTTAAATTCGAAATTTCCTCCCGTTCGTTACTGAAAAGCTTGAACGTTTCGAAGAGAAAGCCGGGGTGCGTACCGGGTTCTTACCGTTCATTTATTATTTAAAAGGGACGCGCGTACGGCTTTTCTCTACGTCTCTTTCTAACTAAAAAAGTGTGATAGAAAGAGATGGGTTGTATCAAGGTCGATAACTTTACAATTAAAGGTTTGCCCTGAAAAATCTCGGTTACAATGTCCCAACATTTCATAACATATGGCAAACTGGATTTAAACGAGAATGAAAAGAGTTGAAACCGTTGAAAAAATCGTAAAAAATCTCATTGTTTAAGATTGAATATAAATCCTTTGAATTTCGAATTCATATTATTTGAAAATTGTTTTATTATTCAAAAAGTTTTAAAATGAAATGGGATCCCTTATTAGTCCAAAACTGGCGAGGGTTGAATTTGATTTCAATTATGTTTTGAGTGAGAATTGCGCAGGTTTAGTAGGCCGAATAAGGGTGAACGAGAGAGAGGAGGGAAATAGATGAAGAGTTATAGCTGCCCGGACAAGTGATAATCGGCGTAATTTCATTGCCGTTGCTCGTTTGTTTCGGCCCCGGCCAACCCCGAAATTCATCAGGCAGCCAGGAGGAGTAAACTCCTCTCCCCGGTCCTTATTTGTCTTCCAACCCCCGGTTACAAATTATCCCATTCCGGTAACTTACGATCATTACATTAACAGGGCACTTAGTCATTTTTGTGGTCTTCTACTTCTCTCTAAGCTTTATCTTTTATCTTAATCTCTTTCAAAAAGAAAAAGAGCTAATCCATCTACAGGGTAAGTGAATGAATTTTTGAGTGAAACTTCAAAAGGTTATGTCATACAAACATTATTTTTGGGAGTGAAGGAAAGATTAATATCTTAAATTAAAAATGTCTATTTTAAGATAGCTTCATTAAAATATCTTAATTAATGGAGATAATTTATATCTCCAGCAAAACAATTTTTCCGTTAAGTAGAATTAATGAACAAAAAATGTCAAAAAATAAGGAGCCAAGTAATAAGGGAGAAAATAAAAAGGAAGAAATTGGAAAGGACAAGAAATTAAGGTGAGGTTAGAAAGTTAAAAGGAAGCTTAATTTGCAATATTATTTGGTTGATGATAGTGATTCTTATCCTTTTGAATGAATAAGTTTAATCAAACGGAGATTATGTATTGCAAGCCCACCCAACTCAAAACCTGATGCAGATGTTTTGCATACATCTGCATCTAATTGAGTCATTTTTGGGTTGCAGGATTGGCTCAATAATCTTGGAACGGTTCACAATCTAACCTCTAGAATACTCAAATCAGGTTGAGGGATACTGGCTTGCGCATACTGGTCTCAGATTGTATTGAGATATTCTTAAAAGAAGGATGAGGTCAAATTGAAACATTCGTGTTTTTTAGTCCTAGATGAGATTACATTGTGACTAAAAAATGATGTGATTGATTTAAAGCAGTTTGGAACAATTCTATATAAATTCAAAGTTCTATAGAATGTCTGCCTAAGTGAAGACATATTTTAAATAATAATGAGGTTGAACTGAGACTTTATTGGAATGAGCTTGAGTTGTCATATCCTTATCATTTAGAATGATTCAGTTCGAGATCAGTTCATATCTTGCAAAGCAATCAAATCTGGTTGAGCTAATCTTATATTTTGGAATAATTAAGCTCTTCAAGAAAATCTGATCGACTTTTAGATGATTTTTACAAACAACTTTTTCTTCAAGACGGAGTGGAATAAAGTGGAATTCAAAAAGGAAACTTTTTGAGGTTATAAAGATATATTTGGGGTTAGGTTACACCAAATCTTAACTTGCCACGATAATCAGTTCATATTTTATATATTTTTAAAAATTACATGTTTCATTTGACGTATCTTGAAAGTATGGTTAAAAAGAAAAAAGTGTTTTCTCCAAAACGGTTAAAATTTAAGGAATGAAACTTTTTGAGGTTATAAACGAATGTTTGAGGTTAGGATAAACCAAATTATAGGCTTTCAGGGTGACTAATTTATTTTATATATAATTTTAATAATTGCCGATTTGAAATTGATTTTTGATGCAAAATGGGATTAAAGATAACATTTTTTTAATCGAAAGCGTATTGGAATTAAGTAATAAAACTTTTTGAGGTTATAAAGGAACCTTTGAGCTTAGGTTGTACCAAATTTAAAGTTACCAAAGTGATTAATTATTTTTATATACATTTTTAAAGTTACCTGTTGTATGTAACGTTTCTTTAAAATATGATTGAAGAAAAAAGTTATTTTTTCCAAAGTAGTTAGGATTTAAAAAATAAAACTTTTTGAGGTTATAAAGGAACGTCTAATGATAAGTTATACCAAATTTTATGTTTCCCCGATGAACAGTCTTTTTAATAATAATTTTTAAAACTGCCTAATTTTAAATTGACGTTTATTGAAAGTATAATTGAAAAAAAAAGTTTTTCTCCAAAACGGTTAAGATTCAAAAAATGAAACTTTTTGAGGTTATAAAGGAACATTTGAGGTTAATTTATACCAAATTTAAAGTCACCACGGTGATTAATGGATTTTATACAAATTTTTTAAAATCACCTATTTAATATGAAGTGCTCTGAAAATATGATTAAAAAAAAAAATAAGTTTCTTTCAAGATTTTAAGATTTAAGAAATGATTTTTTTTGAGGTTATAAAAGAACGTCTGAGAATATATTATACCAAATTTTATTATTAAATTTCTTCGATAAACAGTTTTTGTACTAATAATTATTGAAAACCTCGGATTTGACGTCTATTGAAAGTCAGGTTAAAAAAATGTTTTCTCCCAAAAGGGTTAGATTAAAACGTCACACTTTTTAAGGTTATAAAACAACATTTTATTAGTTATACCAAATTTTAAGCCATGATGTTCAATTCATATTTTTTGTATGACTTTTTTTGATAATATGATTGAAAAAAATATTGTTTTCTTTGAAACAGTTGTGATTTAAGAAATGAAACTTTTTGAGGTTATTCAGGAATGTTTGAGGTTAGGTTATACTAAATTTAAGGTTGCCACGATGATTATTTCATTTTATATACATTTTTAAAAATCACCTGTTGTGTATGACATTTATTGAAAGTATGATTCAAGAAAAAAATTTTTTCTCCACAGTGGTTAGGATTTAAGAAATGAAACTTTTTGAGGTTATAAAGGAACATTTGAGGTTAGGTTATACCAAATTTTAAATTGCTATAGTGATTAATTCATACTTTATATACTTTTAAAAATCGCCTGCTTAATTTGACGTTTATAGAACGTATGGTTAAAGAAAGAAAAATTTTCGACAAAACTGAAAAATTTTTGAAGAAAATGAAACTTTTTGAGGTTATTCAAGAATGTTTGAGGTTAGGTTATACTAAATTTAAGGTTGCCACAATGATTATTTCATTTTATATACATTTTTAAAAATCACCTGTTGTTTGTGATATTTATTGAAAATATGATTCAAGAAAAAATGTTTTTTCTCCACAGTGGTTTGGATGCAAGAAATGAAACTTTTTGAGGTTATAAAGGAACATTTGAGGTTAGGTTATGCCAAATTTTAAGTTGCTATGATTATTAATTTATACTTTATGATCTTTATAGAATCGCCTATTTAATTTGACGTTAATTGAAAATATTGTTAAAGAAAAACATTGTTTTCTGCAAAACAGTTATGATTTAAGAAATGAAACTTTTTGAGCTTATAATGGAAGATTTGAGGTTAGGTCATATCAAATTTAAAGTTGCCACGGTGGCTATTTCATTTTATATATGTCTAGTCAATGCATACATTAACTAATTTATCTAGTTGATGTGTATATAAAATACGAAATGTAAACTTTTAGTAGTTGATGTTACTAATGACGCCCAGTTAAAGGTTAAAGTACGCTTCCTAGTATATTACCTAACGAAACCCAACCCAAACCAAAAAATGGTTACTACTATACTTACTTACTTACTACTTGCATCATATGCACTCCCTTCCATTAAAAAAATATACCGTAAATTTTCTTTGTTATAACTTTTACTAACATCTGTTAGCAAATGCATACACTGCCTAGTTTATGTACACATTTACTAATAAATGTATATGTTAGAGTTAAAGCATTCATTCCGTGAATGTACACATTGTCTAGTCAATGCCCAACCATACATTAACTAATTCATCTAATTAATGTGTGTATGTATAAAATACGAAATGTAAACTTTTAGTAGTTGATGTTACTAATGACGCCCAGTNAACTTTTACTAGTTGATGTTACTAATGACGCCTAGTTAAAGCTTAAAGTACATTTACTAGTATATTACATAACGAAACCTAACCCAACCCAAAAAATGGTTACTACTATACTTACTTACTTACATCATATGCAATCCCTTCCATTAAAAAAATTATACCGTAAATTTTCTTTGTTATAACTTTTACTAACATCTGTTAGCAAATGCATACACTGCCTAGTTTATGTACACATTCGCTAATAAATGTATATGTTACAGTTAAAGCATTCATTCCGTGAATGTACACATTATCTAGTCAATACCCAACCATACATTAACTAATTTATCTAGTTAACGTGTATATAAAATACAAAATGTAAACTTTTGCTAGTTGATGTTACTAATAACGCCCAGTTAAAACTTAAAGTACGCTTGCTAGTATATTACATAACGAAACCCAACCCAAGCCAAAAAATGGTTACTACTATACTTACCTACTTACAACTTACATCATATGCAATCCCTTCCATTAAAAAAATTATACCGTAAATTTTCTTTGTTATAACTTTTACTAACATTTGT